TATACATTCTGAGATTTTCATGGTCGCAGCTACTATTGTGCGGGCGTAGGCGCTATTTGAGATTCATCAAAATTTACCGGGAGCACCAGTAAATTTTTATATCCAATATTTCTCGAAAGCAGAAGGGTTGTAGGGGCCAAATTTTCTACTGCTTATCATAGATCCACAGGGACATCCAAATATATCAAAATTGTCAAGAATCACTATCTACCCAATTTTCAAAATTTCCCAAAACTTTGTATTACCTTTAATATCCCTTTCTCTTCACCTCTGATAAGTGCCTGTTTTATTTTGACCCGTGTCCCCTTTCCATTTCTAATAAGTACTCTATTTCCACATATTATGGACACGTTGTATCATCCGCTCAATATGATTTACGTGCATAGACAGTTTCTTGGACCATGTAAAGAGAGAAACAAATATGAAATTATCCCTGATAATGTAATCATAATTATTCATGAGAATGTAGGGGTATAAATTACGAATGTCTACAAAATTGTTTATTTTCGTTCTGATGCTCCCCTTTGTATTTATACCACCCCCCCCCCCCCCTTCCTGACAAAACCCAAACATGATATACCTTTAAAAGGGGAAGTGTTCACTAAACTGCAAACCTGCCAATATTAAATCATTATATCCCAGCATAATTAGTAACAAATAGAAACGAGATGAGAAAGAATTGTCGCCATGGCGACCAGGAGTGCAATGAATTGTGCATGACAATAATATATCATCATTATCCATGCAACGAGCCATGGCATTAACACCGCCGCTATTATTATAATTGTTGAAAACCGAATTTATTCATACTATGATTAGGATAAGTAGGTGATCATGAACTGTTGAGTGCAGTGTTGAGAACGCGCAAGTCAATAATAATGTATAGGAATAGTGGCGTGTATCAATCATTAGAAAACAATTTCCGCCATTCAAGGCCAATTTGTAATGCTAAAATGCGACAACAAAAAAAGAGAGGGGACAAATTTGAAAGAAAATGGCCTACATAATTTACGACGTCACTATATCATTTTTTTTTTTAATTAATAAATACGATGGAGGTCGATTTTACCGAAAGCTAATATTAATATATAATATCAGATTTTTCATTCATGAATAGACTTGCAATTGAACTGAGAAAAAAAGATGACCTCAAGTAGGAAGAAGACCACCCACGAAAAAAAGAAGAAAGAGAAAAAGAAAAAGGAAGAGGAAGAAGACCAAGGGTATTAAAAAGAGAAAAAGGTTAAATAAATAAGACATGATAAAGAATGATATATAGATGAAGAACAAAAAAACAAGGGTAAATGTTGGAGAGCATGAAGATGGGAGGAAGATGACGAGAGGGAATTCGAAAGAGGGAGGGAGGGAGGGGTTCGTTGGTGGAAGAGCAAGAGAGACACGGAGATAGGCATATGGAGAGAGGGGAGAGACAGAAAGAAAGAAAGAGAGAGAGAAGGCAGAGAAAGAGGGACAAACAGGCAGAGACAATGAGACAGAGATAGAAAGAGAAAGAGAGAGGGGATAGAGAACCAGAGAGATTATATTGATGCTGTGGTTGATATGCATAGATATATCCTGAATCCTGAATAGAGGCAGTACATAAAAATATCATGGTCGGCCTAACATTTTGGATTTCACCTCATGTAAGGACTGATGTTTGTTTAAGTAAGAGTGTAATATAAATACACTGCAAGCACGTTAAGTCTTTTGTTAACTCTGTTTGTTGCTACGGCAGGCAGCCAGTGAAAACGATTTTGTTTAATCAAATAATGAGAATGCAAGCATTAACTTGAAACAAATAGAAATTTGTTATTCCTGGCTCATTTCAATTCAATTCAATTCCCATTCAAGGTTTATCAAAAAATATCTTCGCAGCCGTAAAAGGCTGAATTGCCATACCATTCACAGATAAAAACATGCAAAATTAAAAAATATACATAACAATTACAATGAGCATAGATTGGCATGAATTAAAAATCTAAAATCAAATATATACAGAAAACCAAAAAGTTCAAATGTGAGTTTCAGAAAAATAGGTTGTTCAAATTACATCAGGTGTTTAGCGATTATTTAAATCCATTGTAAACATCTAAAGACAAGATGAAAAATTGCAAAAGATTATATTTCAAATTAAAAACTCAAATAAATAATCTTCGTTTAAACTACTGGAACTTCGGCTAAGTTTGCAGCGACGTTGTAAATAATAAATTGGAATTCAACTGTATTTCCGAGCCCGTTTGACGGTTTCGAATTTATTTTGTCTCTGAACCGTTCTAACCACCGATCCATTACACTACATAAAGGTTTGACATATGCTCTTTATGAATTGATCGTGAAATTCCCTTCGCTAAAGTGTAAATCAAAAATACGCCTCCGGAATGCGTATTTTTGATTTACACGCTAGCGAAGGGAATCTGCACGATTGATTCAAATTAAAACCACTGGCCAAGAGCCTAGACTGTATTTTAGACTTTTATGTGGGTACTGGACTGTACAAGAACCATGGTCACCACGGGGTTTATTTTTGGTCCAAATTACCATCCACCATCAATGGTAACCAATCCATGGTATATATCAAGCAATGATAATTTCATCGAATTTCGTTGTTTGATACCATGGTGGATGGTAATTTGGACTAAAAAAAAAACATTGTTACCATGGTTTTTTGTTTGTAAGGGATATACTGATAAGTGATGATAATGCACCAATATATTGTTTTGTCGATGGGTTTTGCTTAAGTGTTAGTGTTGGTTCCAAAGTTGGAGTTTAGAATTTGGTTAGTGTAGAAAAGTGACAAGGATAAAGATAGGGAGGAAGAGATAAGGGAGGGAGAGAGAGAGAGAGAGAGAAAGACATAAAAGGGGGGGGGGGGTAGAGACGGAGCGAAATGCGGGAAGGGAAGGGAGAAGAGGACAGAAAGAGAGAGAGAGAGAGAGAGGTGGAAAAGTAGTGTGTGTGAGAGGGGGAGGGGAGAAGGAGAGGGAAGTCCTGTGCAAAAGATATGGTTGAAACAATGAATTCATTACTGGTACCACTTCAAACATTTTGAACACGACACACATTAGATTCCGAGCTGTTAGTTCCGAGAAAATATTAAAGAAAGATATTTTGCAACTTGCTGTTGATAATAATTATGAGACCATAAATCAGTGCAGCAAGCGTGAACATACTCACACATGTACACACAACACAACTCCACACCTAACCTGAGGAATTATCTCAGGAGCAAAATTACTGTAGGACCATCCCTGTATTATACGTATGTTTCTGTAAGGACCAATGCGGTACAATTTTCTGTTCGAAGTAAAGTTCGTATGTTTGCTTTATTGCCGATAAAATGAGAAGAAGAGTGCATGGATACGGAATACAAATTACATGTATATTTACTTCTTAGGATATGCAAATGTGTCAATGTACGTTGAAATATTAGAACATAAGGTAAATAACTGTAGTACATGTACATTTCGAGTAATACTTAATCTCAGAAAAACGAACCGTACAGGAATATATACAATTAGGTATTGTGTATAAATATCCAGACACTCTACAAACGTCTGAAGAATCGTCTCACAAAACGTCCCAATGTGACATAAGGGACTTTTAGATTTGCATGTCGACATAGTTGACTGCTACGGGTGAAGTCCTTTTAAGGCACTAATGGACGCCATACGTAGCAGTTCACTATGTCGACGTGGAAATCTAAAAGTCTCTTATGACCGAACGCTCTACTACCTCTTGGATGCCATGTTCCCAGTCTTGTCGAATTTGGATGATCTCCGTTGAGTTTCGCCGCGTGCGTGTTTTGAACACGCGCTAATGAAGTATGGTATAAGCGAACTGTTTGACTGGTTCGATGGTTTAGGTATCCCGAGTGCTAAAAAAAAGAAAGCATGTGTATGCTTGTAGGCAATAAAGGGAACGACGGCTTTACCAAAGGGCAATAGCTAGTGACTCTACTTGGGTTCGAACCAAGGTCCTCTTAGTTACGTGACGACTCACTGCCTACTGCGATACCACTCGGCCATCTTGCCTCCAGCGTGTGACAAATTGTACATATCTCCCTAAAATGTGTCCTTCGTACTTCGTATTATTTCCTCTCTCACAATATACAACGACATGAGTGAACATCAATGAAAATAAAAATATACTACACATAAAATAACCAAACTGGCATAGGCGATAAAGATTTTTTTCCCACAGTAAACACAAACCACCCAAACCCATATGCAAAACAAGACATGTGTTCACGACGGGAACGTAGTACGTACACGGTTTATCAATATCAAATGTTCATCATTTTTACAGAAAGTGAGGTTATTTGCAAACATTGCACAGTCCACATGACAATATCCTGGTTACATCTTTGAATAAGCAAAATACGTGTTATAGCTTAGCAACGTGTCCATTTGACATGCAAAAAAATGTATCTACGAGGCAAATCAGGCGAAGAGCAAAAATAAGGTAACCACCAAAACACGAACTCAAATTAAAGGTAAAGACCAGTTATGGTCATGCGATTGCATTGTGAAAGAAACGTTGTGGAATCGATCAGAAAAGGTTGATCATCTAGCATATAAGTATTGGTGTGTACTGCAAGGTTCTGGAATCATCAAAATGATAAGAAATATGGCCCAGTCTTCGTAAAGTTACAAGCACTGTACACAGAAAGATGTATATGGGACTATATGCACACGTGCGCGACACGTGCGTTTATCTCTCACAGACAATGTAGATAAACTAATTTACCAAATATATCAATTAGTAGGCGGTTTCCCTGCAATTTTTGTTATCATGTATTAGTCAAAACATATTCTTTCACATGATTTGTAATAAGAGCTTCCATTACATTTTTTGAAATTGGGTCGTTTCCAATACTGGTCTTTACCTTTAACAGGCCTATGATATCGCCTCTAGTGCTCTGCTATCGACTATCAACACGGATTTCAATTTATATTATTTCTTATACATGTTCGATACATTGACTGAACCAAAATCATTAGTACAACTTAAACAATTAAGCAAAGAAGCACATATATATATAGAACCTTTAAAAAACTCGAAAATTGTAAAAGTCCAAAAAAGTCACCAAGAAATTTATGTACTGAAATATGAATAGTGTACAAGATAATTCGGCAAAACATTATCAAATGCAAATTTAAAAACATAATCAATGAAAATATCGAATGAATTTAAAGCCATGCCCGTCTAAAGTCATGACGAATATCCATCAGCATTAATTTTTAACAGAAACTGCCCGCAATCACTGGGCTACCTAACATATGAAACCAAATGTAATGCATGCGTGTTTGTGAAGTGCCTCGATACAAACATTTCATTCATCTTTTACGAGTACATATTAATGTATTTCAAAAGTAGGACAAACATTATCTTAACATACAATTTATGCATTTTGCATTCTGACCATTGAAATTCAATTGTTCATTACAGGTGAATAAAATATTTGTCTTGAGGCAATTTACAAAGACGTACATGTGTATTTTAGATTTGGTTGCATTTCAAAAATGGTCCATTGCATGATAAAATCTTCGCAAATACAGTTACCAATTTCATTTATATAGTCACGAAACACAAACATCGAACAAGTTTCATTTGATTTAGTCCCTTTTACTTATTATAACGTTTATCACCTGTATGGACAGCGAAAAAGTCTGGAGTTTTATTGATTTGAATTCTTTCTCCATTTCATTGACCTGATTTTTCATAATCAGGTCAATTTAAATAAAAGGTAAATTTCATCGGGAATTCGACACGTGATTAGAGACATGAACTAATACAAGTATCATTTTGAGGACGTCAGAAAGACGTGCACAGTCAAACATGTCTTCGTGAACACCTCAATGAATAAATGTGTTGTTGAATCTGCCTAGAAAGTTAACTTGCCTACAATGGTCACTTTATCTTGGCTGATCTTAATATGGACAGGTTCAACTGTAAAAATAGAAAAAATTACTTATAGCAATGAAACATTTACTAATTAAAGTTAGTAGAATTAACATTATTTACAGACATATCAATAGAAACCTAAAGCATAAGATCCATGCGTATGAAATAATGGTAAACACGTGCTACTTCAAATCTACAGGGTACGATGAGCGCGAGGCGTCATTTGCATGACGGAAACCAGCGGGGCTACGACTCATTGTCAGTACTCATTGTCGTACTAAAAAAAAGGGAAACGTAAAATGGGCAGTGCGAACAATGCTTTGAAAGCAATGGCGTATGCACGATTGTCTGCACAGACTTGCTTAGAGCAGGGGATTACGTAATCTAAATAACGCCTCGTGCTCACCAGGCATGTCACGACACTTAGCCAACCAAATGCATCTTGACGGCACTTTAGCAGCAATAATGAACAGCGGAATGTATTTTAGAAATAAATAAATGAATAGAGAACGTTCGGAAACTGCGCAGGTGCAGCTGGTTATATGCACAATGCCTGGAGTTTCTAGTATTGTGTGTAGTAAACACATCATCTGCTGGCCACGCGCAGGTGCGCACGAACATTGCTGCGAAATGCTTAAAATTTTGGCAACCTGATTGCGGAAGCCCTAAATGTGTATTTGAATGGACGAACAATATAAAATAGCACAATGAGTTTTGGTCTATTATCGAAAATATCCTTCCGTTTTCATGAACATACATGACACAATAGCACCGTAAGAATTCCATTTGTATTTACATCCTAATATGAAAACCACCCATTCAGCAACAGCCCAGCAATTAATGTCTGTTTAAAAAAAATATTGATTAGCGGTGGGTGCTAATCTTCAAAATTGTATACATATGGAACCCTTTCAAATGTGGAGAAAAAAGTCCAGTTAGTCAAGCTCAAAAAACTTCTGATTTTCTCAAAATAGACATATTTTGGTCAAACAGTTATCAGAAATACACATATATCTCAGAATTTACAACATTTAATTTCACTTAAAGAGAACTTAGGTTGAGTTCTGGGGAGAGGTGAGAGCGTTGTCATTGTTATTATGCAAGTGTGAAAGAATTTCAGAGAAAAAACACCCATGAAAAACATGACTCTTCATATTCTAGTACAGTGTCAATAGCGAAAAGCGTTACCGATTTAACTAGCAAGTGTAGGTCAAAATGAAGATGGGGGAATCGTTACCATATTAAAATATCGTACACACACACAGAATATATAGTTGCAGTTAAGGCACAAGTGATAAAAAAAAATGCAACAAAAATTAATAAAACAAGGTTGAAAATCTGTCATGAGGATCAATTGACGAAGTGGATAACCATGTCATCGACCATCCCTAATATTCTCAAATAAAAGAGCAGAAAATTGGAAACCAATGTATGAAACTTCAATCTAGTTTACATAGATGACAGATGAGACCGCTCATGGTTGGGTACAAGTTCTAAAGAAGTAAATACCTGAATTTCAATCTAGTTTTACATAGATGACAGATGAGACCGCTCATGGTTGGGTACCAATTCTAAAGAAGTGAACACCTGAATTTCAATCTAGTTTTACATAGATGACAGATGAGACCGCTCATGGTTGTGTACCAATTCTAAAGAAGTGAACACCTGAATTTCAATCTAGTTTTACATAGATGACAGATGAGACCGCTCATGGTTGTGTACCAATTCCAAAGAAGTGAACACCTGAATTTCAATCTAGTTTTACATAGATGACAGATGAGACCGCTCATGGTTGTGTACCAATTCTAAAGAAGTGAACACCTGAATTTCAATCTAGTTTTACATAGATGACAGATGAGACCGCTCATGGTTGTGTACCAATTCTAAAGAAGTGAACACCTGAATTTCAATCTAGTTTTACATAGATGACAGATGAGACCGCTCATGGTTGTGTACCAATTCTAAAGAAGTGAACACCTGAATTTCAATCTAGTTTTACATAGATGACAGATGAGACCGCTCATGGTTGTGTACCAATTCCAAAGAAGTGAACACCTGAATTTCAATCTAGTTTTACATAGATGACAGATGAGACCGCTCATGGTTGTGTACCAATTCTAAAGAAGTGAACACCTGAATTTCAATCTAGTTTTACATAGATGACAGATGAGACCGCTCATGGTTGTGTACCAATTCTAAAGAAGTGAACACCTGAATTTCAATCTAGTTTTACATAGATGACAGATGAGACCGCTCATGGTTGTGTACCAATTCTAAAGAAGTGAACACCTGAATTTCAATCTAGCTTTACATAGATGACAGATGAGACCGCTCATGGTTGTGTACCAGTTCTAAAGAAGTGAACACCTTATCACAGAATCTACAGGTTAGAAAATGATCCGGAATCACTGTCGTTTTCTTTGAAGGCATCACACTAGCACTACTGGTAGTCGCATCATCTTTAAACTCATTGAGTGTGTGCTGCTCTTTGTGTGTTTCAAGGTCTGCGTTAGATGGAAACGACTTCATACAAAGCTCACATTTGTGGACAACCTCAGGGTTCTTGGGTTTTGGTACATTGGAAGCAACTGGAGAAGGAGATGAAGCACGTTTTTTTTGCGCACAGGCATGTTCCTCCAAACTCTTATGTGTTGTGTAAAATCGGTTGCAGTAATTGCACATGAAGACATGGGTGTCCTGGTGTCTATTTAGTTCTGGCCTGCTTGCAAAGATTTTTTCACATTCTGGACACTTCCATGCCATTTTTGAGGAACTTCCTTTCGCTGGAGAAGACGCTGGTTTTCCTACTCCCTTGCCATCTGGTAATAATCCATTGGATTTTTCAGAAACTGTTCTCGCTGGCTGCACCACTACCTCTTCTTGTTCCATTTGTGAGGAACTTGCTATTTCTGAAGAAAAGGCTGCTGTTTTTCCTACTTCCTTGCCATCTGGTAGTAATCCATTGGATTTTTCAGAAACAACAGTTCTCGCCGACTGAGAAAACACCACTGCCTCTTCTTGTTCCATTTGTGAGGAACCTCCTTTCTCTGACGAAGAGGCTGCCATTCGTACTTCCTTGCCATCTGGTAATAATCCATTGGATTCCCCAGAAACAACTGCTCTCGTTTGCTGAGAAGACACTTCTGCCTCTTGACTCTCACTTTGCGGATGTTTTGAGCGAATGTGGTTCTGAAGATGATTTTTCCTTGTATAGGACATTGTACATTTGCTGCACATGAACCTTTTGGAACCTGAAGACCCCTCTTGTTTGGTAGTGTCCATTTTTGGAGTGTCCTTGATGATTTGATTTTGGTTTATGTGTTCACCCTTCTTCATATGCTGGAGTAGATATTCCTTTCTGGAAAAAGTCCTTGGGCATTTGGGACATCGTAAGTATGTATGCGCCGACTCCTTGATCGGGTGCTTGCCACGTTTCATGTGCAAAGACAAGTCACTTTGCTTACTGAATACTCTCGGACACTTCCCACATTGGTAGAATGTATCTTTGGGTCCCCTTACTCGAGTGTTTCCAAATGTATTTCTGCTCTGATTCTTGACACTAATGTGCTTCCCGAGCTTGATGTGCATGGTCAAGCCAAAGGCAGTAGGGAAAGCCTTTGGGCATTGAGGACATTGGTGATTGGTGAGACCTACAGTAGGCGTTTCTTTACAGATACTCTTGCTTTGATAGACCCTGAGGTGGGCATCTCTTGAGTGACACTTCTTCATGTGCTGAGTCAATGTATATTTCCTTGAAAATGACTTAAAGCATATGAGACACTCGACTGACGAGCCCTTTCCGTTGGACTTTTGGCTAAGCAACTCGGGATGCCTGCATTTGATGTGTGCTGTCAAGTAACGTTTGCAGGAAAAGGATTTTAGACAGATCTGACACTGATGCACTGGATGTTTTCCTTTTATGTGCCTCAACAAACTTGATCTATTGCTATATGAATTAGTACATAAAGAACACTTGTGGGCAAGCGATTCGGACAGGTTTGACGACCCTGATTCTATTCTAACCTCTTTTGTTTTTACGTGCTTACTACGATCCATGTGCACTTTAAGATCACACTTCCTTGCAAATTCTTTAGGACATTTTGTACAGACGAAGGTAGACTCTGTAGATATAACTGGAGCTTCTATAGGCTCATATTTAACTTGGCGTTTCTGATTTTGGTTCATGTCTTCACCCTTTTCATGCTTTCCGCTACTCATGTGCTTGCTGAAGTCTGAACTTCTACAAAATGTTTTGGGACATTTCGTGCAATGGAACTTTGTTCCTTGTAACTTCCTCACCATTTCTGGATGAATTTTTGATCTGTGCCTTTGAAGGTGACGTCTAGTGCCATATACTTTTGGACATAAACTACACTTGAAATTCTTTGGAAGCCCTCCCAACTCTGAACCAACCACTTCAGTTTTTTCTTGCTGGAGGACCTTTCCATGCTTTCCATGCTTTAGGTGCATAGAAATGTTACTCTTTCCCTTTGCTTTTGTGATGTTGCTTCTAATCCCTGGATGCGACCTCCTCATATGATCTGTGAGATATCTCTTTTGTTTGAAGATCGTTGAACATATACTGCACTGGGTTACACTGATGCCACCATGCTTTCCTAGTGCCATGTGCACAGAAAAGCGATATTGGCTTGAGAATGTCTTGGAACAAATGTTGCATCTTAAGTCTGAACTTTGACCTACTCGTTTGTATCTCTGGGAGATGGCTGGGTGCTTTCCTCGCGTCATGTGCATTGCGAGGTCAGACTTTCTACGAAACCTTTTCGGACACTTTCTACATTGAAATACCATACTCTTAGACTTCTCAAGCACTTCAACTTTGGTTCCATTGTTCTTTTCTTGATGTTTTCGTTTCATGTGGTCAGTAAGATATCGCTTCTGGGCAAAGATCTTTGAACAGAACTTGCATCGGAATTCTGTGGTTGGCGGTTCTCTCACCTTGTTATCTCGCACTGAACCATCATTTCCTATCTCAAACTTTCTGATTGCCCCTTTGCCTTTCTGGAGGGTGGCTTGGTGCTTTCCTCGCTTCATATGCATTGTGAGGTCAGACTTTCTACGAAATGTTTTGGGACATTTCCTGCAATGGAACTTTGTTCCTTGAGACTTCTTCAGCATATCAGTCATTCTGCTGCCTGGATGTTTTAATGTGATGTGCCTTTGAAAGTAAAGTTTACTGTTATATACCTTTGGACATTCACTACACTTGAAATTCTTTGGAAGCCCTCCTAACTCTAAACCTACCACGGCATCTTTTCCTTGTTGGTTGACCTCTCCTTGCTTTCCATCTTTTAGGTGCATCGAAATGTTACTCTTTCCCTTCGACTGGATTTCTGAACCATCCAACTTCTTTGTTCCTTTTGCTTTTATGTTAATTCTAAGTTCTGGATGATACAGCCTTATGTGATCTGCGAGATATCTCTTTTGTTTAAAGATCTTGGAACATATACTGCACTGTCTTACACTGATGCTATCATCATGCTTTTCAAGGGTCCTGTGCACAGAAAGGCGATATTGGCTTGAGAATGTCTTGGAGCAAATCTTGCAGCTCAAGTCTGAACTTGAAGAAGGCGAGTTCAGTGTTTCTTTCCTACTGGAAATCTTTGGAAGTCCTCCTGTCTCAGAATCTTTGATTACTCGTTTCCCTTTCTTGGAGATGGCAGGGTGCTTTCCACGCTTCATGTGCATTGTGAGGTCTGACTTTCTATGAAATCTTTTCGGACACCTTCTACATTGAAATACCACACTTTTAGACTTCTCAAGCACTTCAACTTTGGTTTCATTGTTCTTCTCTTGATGTTGTCGTTTTGTGTGGTCAGTAAGATATCGCTTCTGGGCAAAGATCTTTGAACAGATCTTGCATTCGAATTCTGAAGTGGCCGGCTCTCTCATCTTGCTATCTTGCACTGAACGATCATTTCCTTGTGTCCCCGAATTTCCATCCATGATCGGTTTGGACTGTATTGAGATTGTCTTTGGACGAATAATACCTTTAAATGTTGCACTTAAAGATGGTGGTGACTTAGCATGTCCAGTACTAGTTGATTGCTGTTGACGGCTTGGTGTTTCCACTTTTAAGCCACTGCTGGTCTGCAGACGAGGTCGATTATGCTTCCCATGATTCATGTGCTTTGTCAGGTCGCTTTTCCTGGCATATGATTTCCCACATATCCTGCACTTAAGCCGAAGAGAACGTTTCATCGCAATATCTTCTTTCAGCGGGGATTCACAGGAGCTTGGTTGCACAGGGGATTGGGGTTCGTTGGTGTCCTTCAGGACAGTCTCAGTTGAGCTTATGCCACTCTTGCCAGCTCCATCTCTTTCACTAGGCCTGTGTACTCTCGCCACATGAACCTGTAGGTAATATCGTTTTTTAAACTCTCGCTCACATTGAGGGCACGGGTAGATCAGGTTATGACTGTTCACATGTCTCTTAAATAGTCTTAAATTTGTGAAGCTACTATCACACAGATGACATGGATATATGTGCTTTAAAAGATGATTTTGCAGAGCTCCTAAAGAAGGGTAGGTTGTTCTACAGTCTTTGCATTCAAATCCATCGCCATATGTTGAAGTTTCCAGACCTACATGAGCTTCTGATCGAGTAGTACCATTCGTCATGGTCCCATTATTTCCTTGATGATTAAGCTTGTGCTTTGCAAAGTCGTCCTTGTTGCTGAATGCTTTTGGGCAATCGGAGCAATGAAAATACAGATCCCTTCCCAACTTTGGTGCAACAGCATTTTTCACCGGAACAGCCATATCATCCTGTTCCCTGGAACCATCATCTTCAGCACAATTCTGTGTCCCATTGTCTTCTCCATTTTCCTGTATAGGGGTCTCCTTGGCACTCCTGGGACTAACGCTGCCTCTTGGCCCTTTATTGGCCCTTAGGTTTCTGCTGACCTGGCTTCCTCTTCTGCAGTGTTTCTGTTTATGAACCTTAAGATTACTCAAGCGATTGAAACTCTTCCCGCAACCATTGCAACTAAGCTTTGGATCCTGGTGGCCATTTTCGTGGTTCAACAATGCAATATGGTTGGTGAAAGTCTTCGGACACAGAGAGCAGGCATACATATGATCTCCATAGTGATCCTCTAGAGCGGCCTTGCTCTCAAAGATGATATCGCATTCTTTGCAGCAGTGCTCTTGACCCTTCTTATGGACATCTTCGTGCTGCAACAACTCAGAGTCCGATGAAAATTGCTTGCCGCAAAAGTGACAAATAAATGTGTGTTTTTGCATGTGACGGGCGAGGTGGTTCTCTTCGGTGAACGCCATACTACAGACATCACAGAAAAATATTGGCTTAGCTTGAGTGTCCAATAATGAACCTTTCCTGGTGTCTTGCGCACTACCTGAAGATGATCCCGCTTCCTCCTCAGAATGTGACTGCATGGCGTTTTCATATGTAGCAGGGGACCGCCCAATACCTTCATCCGATGATCTCTCATCTGGCTCATCATCTTCACGTTCAGGGGCTTGCAGGTTATGGCTACTTGTGGCACCTCCTGATGTGGCCAACCAGAGAGTCTCTGGAGTAGGTTTGATGCTTGGTCTAGCCACTGTGTTGTCTGAATGGAAGGTGTTGTCCTCTTTTTTAACACGGATGGGGATCAAGGAAAACGACAAACCTCCTGTATCACCGGTTTCACCTCCTTCTCCTTCAAACAGCGGCTCCTGCTTCAGAGGTCGATCCATCTTGTTAGTCCAAATTCCTGGAGATAATAGTAAAATAAAATTCACAGCATTAGAAAAGAATTTGGCTCATATTCAATTTGTCATTCCATCTTAAAGATAAACTTGAGTTATGGTAAAACTAGATGGAATTTTGACTGCGCGCAGTCGAAAATGATGCCTCCGCAATAGAGCAATTTAAACAAGTTTGGAGTTTAAATCTCCAGTGGTTCTTGAGATATCATGATAACAATCTCAATGTATGGAATTTCATAAGTTGACCTCTGTGACCCTTGACCTTTGACCTACGTGCTCCAAAATCTAATCAGATTGTCTTCCTATGGTGATACACACTATCATTAAGTTTGAAGTTTAAATCTCTAGTGGTTCTTGAGATATTATGATAACAATCTCAATGTATGGAATTTCATAAGTTGACCTCTGTGACCCTTGACCTTTGACATACGTGCTCCAAAATCTAATCAGATCGTCTTCCTATGGTGATACATACTATCCTTAAGTTTGAAGTTTAAATCTCAAATGGTTCTTGAGATATCGCGCTAACAAACTCAATACAAGGAATTTCATAAGTTGACCTCTGTGACCTGTGACCTTTGACCTACGTACTCCAAAATCTAATCAGATCGTCTTCCTATGGTGATAAATACTATTCCTGAGTCTTAAGTTTAAATCTTAAATGGTTCTTGAGATATTGTGATAACGGTCAATCGGGACGGACGGACGGACGTACGGACGGACGGACGGACGTACGGACGGACGTACGGACGTACGGACGGACAACCCGAAAACATGATGCCTCCGGCACCACCTTCGGTGGCGGAGGCATAAAAAGAAAATGAATTCTCACAGAATCAAACGAAACTTACGCAAGAGTGTTCAAGATTACAAAAAATTTCATTTGCCAAACACTTTTGGTAGAAAATGTATACTGGCTGAGTAATGAGCATAGAAATCAAGGTAAGTAGGCCGGACACCATTTGTGTACATCTTTCTGTGTACAGTGCTTGTTACTCTACCAAGACTGGGCCAAATTTAATATGATTTTGATGACTCCAGAACTAAGCCCGTTTCAAGTAGACGTTGAATCGACTACCCGCCAGTAAAGCCAGTAGTCGAATAATGAACTTGATAACCGAATATTTGATGACTCATTGGGAACCCAAGAACATCGCCTAAAAAGAGTCTAAATGGATGTGAAATAGAAATCTGTCCTGATCCATTCCACATCTTTTCTTTCAAAATGAAACCACATGACCAGGACTCAATTTATCTTTAACCTGTATTGAATTTAAAGGAAACCTCAGTCCAAAGAATAAGTGTAGGTATTCTGAAAATGAGATGTATTCCTGCCCTTTGATGTGAATATTCCTTACAAAAATGTACAAGAGATAAATACTGCTTGTAAGTGTCGGCTTGCATGGTGATGTAGATATACAGTAGGCTTACGGGTGCACTATGTGAGAGAGAGAGGGAGGATTGAGGAGTCCTGAAAGGGACCCTCAGTAATCTTTCTTGAGGGTTTGTAGTCCTGAAAAGGACTGTTGGTATAGTCTTGAAAAAGACTGTTGGTTATCTTTCTTAGCTTATAGTTCTAAGGAGAACTATAGCGCTTGGAGAGGATGAATGGCAGGAGTGGCTTGACGTTTCGAACAGGTTGACTATCCATCGTCAGGATTGGAGAATAGCTGGTGTGCATCAGCGTAAGTCACCGGGGTGTGGACGTCTGGGAAAAAATACATGACCGTGCCGGCTTGAGTCATCAGGGAGTCGACATTCATCCGTACTACAATCAGTCCCCAACGCCCTCATCCCCCGAGCTCATCAACTCAGCGATGCCGACTATCTAGACCAGGAAATCCAGCATGTCCTAACTACACAGCCCTAACTACCATCAACAAATACCCAAGACATAAGATCAAATCCAAGATTCCCACCAGCAAGCCCGCAGCCAACACCGTCCCTGAAGAGAACCAACCTGCAGCTACACCACTGAAACAAACTGTTGTTCTTCCCTATATCGGTCAAGCCTCTCACAAGATTCAGCGTATCCTTCAAGCAGCAGACATCCAAGTTCGACACAGTTCCTCCAACAAACTCCATTCGAAACTCAACTCCCACAAAGACAAGCATCCAAACCACAAGTAAGCTTGAGTCTACAAAATACCATGCAAATGTGGAAAAGTCTATTTTGGTGAAACGGGGAGAAATCTGGAAACAAGACTCAAGGAACACAGAACCAGCTTAAGTCTCAGCGATTGGGATAAGTCCTCCTTCGTCAAACACGCCCAGCAACACGAACACACGATCGAATGGGATAACAGTCATCTCATCTCCATAATGAAGCACTGGCATACACGCCGAATCCGAGAAGCCATCGAAATTCACCGCCACAACACCATGCCCCAAGACTCAGGATTATACATCAACGTCATCTGGAAACCCCTCATCAACAAGTACCCGGTCACTCCTCCTCCACCACCACCTCCACCACCACCTTCACCACCCCCGCAGACACCCTACATCAACCACCACCATCCGCCGAACCCTCAAAGCAGCCGCCAGCCTCACAGCTACAATGCACAGCAGACGACAGCAGACTACAATGCCGCCTACGTCGGGGACACACAAAGCATCTCGTCGACAGCACACACAACTCATGGATTTGAAACTCCCCGACGTCCGCAACCCGGAGACTCCAGCCCAGACGGACAGCCAGACGGACCAGCAGACCATCCATGTCCACTCCCCAATGACTCAAGCCCGCACGGTCATGTATTTTTTCCCCCGACGTCCGCACCCCGATGACTTAAGCTCACGCACGCCAGCTATTCTCCACTCCCGACGACGGATAGTCAACCTGTTTCGAAATGTCGAGCCACTCCCGCCACTCATCCTCTCCAAGCGCTATAGTTCTCCTTAGAACTATAAGCTAAGAAAGATAACCAACAGTCTTTTCCAAGACTATACCAACAGTCCTTTTCAGGACTACAAACCCTCAAGATAGATTACCGAGAGTCCTTTTCAGGACTCCTCAATCCTCCCTCTCTCACATGGTGCACCCGCAAGCCCTCTGTATAAGAGATATATAATTGAAGATATTCTTGGCATGATGTGATGCCATTTAGCACGACATGGGCATAGCCATTTTCTTGAAAATGTGACGTGCCAGTTGAAGTCATACCTGTATCTACAGCATACTTTAGTTGGAAAGATGTTTGAAAGATCATAGCTGAGAAGATTAAAATCATATTTGGAGAAAAAGATATACATGTCTGTAACAGGGGAACAATTGTAACCTATCCATTTAAAAAATACTAAAATATAGTTTTCATACATATATTTCATCTATGAGAAACCAGAAGAGCACCAACTTATTTATGCAATTTGCATTCTGGCAATTGTAGTACAAAGGATAATAGCGAGTGAATGAAATGCTTCATCACCACAAACACTTGTGAAGGAAATATCCATATTAAATTTGAATACTGGTCCATTTACTCAATAAACGACTTCACATAGTACATTTTGTATGTCACATGTACTGTACGCTTTAATAGGCGTTTTTCTTGTTGAGAAGAACTGACTTCAGTTCCCAGTCTCAGTGCTTGTAAGTGATTCTAGCTGACTTTCTTTTGTACTTCCTCGATCTTCCAGTGATTATTCAATTTAGGTCAATCATGCACATAAAAAAGGGAATTGCTTTGTGTACCTTTTTATCTTTGGTTCTTTCTTCAGCTTTCTGGGTATTTTTATTATTAGTTATTTATTTATTACACTTTCCTTTTCTTAGTTTTTTTTAAATTCTAATTTAAGTGAGTCCATCATTTTCATATCGACATTGATGGTTTTGTTTCATTCATTTTTTTAAATAATCAAGCACCCTTTGTTCCCTTCTCTCCCTTCCCTTTTGATCTAGTCTCTCTCTCTCTGCTTCTCACTCCTTGGTTCTCGTGCTGAAGTAGGTAGATACCCTTGTTACTCTTGGGACTCTCCTGGAGCATACCACTGCTGTATGCGCTATTACCAGCGATTTACACACAAAACACAAACACTTTGCATGATTTACAAACCGAAGTACATTCATATTTTGCTTGCTGCATATATCCGTTCACACACAAAATGTTTTGCTCTCTTGATATGAATCGTGACTTTGTATCTGATCGAACATTGTATAAACCACCTTCACACAGGGAAAATGTTCTGTAAAGCTTTTTAGTTAAACAGCTTTAAGCTAATCAGCTCTAGAAACAATGAATTTTACCCGTGTGAAAAGGCCGCAAGAAGCATAGATGAAACATCTTTTTTCTCTGTATCTCATCTCCTCCTTCTTCATTTTGTAGAACTTGTTAATCAGCCTTTCCACACATGGGTAAAATTCATTGTATCTAGAGCTAATTACATGTAGTTTATAAAGCTGTATACCATAACTAAACAGCTTTCAATAAATTTTCCTTTTGTTAACGTCGTTTATACGATGTTCGAACAGATACGAAGTCGCGATCTATACGCCGTTCAGAGCAGGCTGCAGACACAAAGTCTGTATCTAGAGAGCAAGAAATTTTGTGTGTGAATGGATATACATCCTTAACTGGGCAGAGCTAAGACCGGGCACTGCTCTTTAAACGCTCAGTAGGGCCACTACGCATGTACATGTATCAGCAGTGAGTCATTGCTCGTCACTGCTCGTAAATTATGTGCAATGGCCCCACTGAGCGTTTAAAGAGCAGTGAATCTCGAACGACTGCACCAAAATTGTCTGTGTGTGAATAATGTTGTATCTAAAGCTGATTAGTTTAAAGCTCTTTAAACTAATCAGCTGTAAAGAAATTTACCCCTGTGTGAAAAGGCTAAAAAATACATTCAGTTTCTCTCATACGTTGTGTAGAAATTAAGTCCTTTGTGCTGATGTTGTCGAGTTGAAACATGTTCTTTATTTGTATTTATTCTTTTGTTTGCATTTGTTATATAAACAGCGCTCCACCGAAGACCAGTTTGACTGAATTGCCCTGCTTTCAAAGAT